CTCCCCCTGCTTGTGTTCCCTCTCTCGCTGTGTCTCTCTCTGTCAAATAAATAAATAAATCTTTAAAAAAAAAAATTGGCTTTAGTGAAGTATGTAAACCTGGATCATACTGACATAACCATCATATTTTTGCCAAATAAAATTTGTGGATGAAATTTTTGATTGCTAAAGAGCATATTCACAAATATGATATCTTTTACAAGAAAAGGAGAATCTACGCACACTTGAGACATTTATTGGTGTCTTAATCCAATTAGTAACCCAGACCAGACACACAACGACCTTTATTATTAGCAATAAACACTTTTGCCTACTTTACCTTATAATAGAAATTTTCATCTTCAAATTTTTCACCATAAATACTTTCTCCACCTGTCCCATTTTGATTTGAGAAGTCTCCACCCTGAATCATAAATTTCTTAATAACTACAAAAAAGGAAAATAACTATTAGAAACTAAAATATGGATGACTACAGCAATGTTAACTAATGAACATGTAGTAAGAAAGAAACTTCCTAAAACATGACTCTAGTCATACCACTCTCCTGTCTTTCCCCACCCATCCCCATAACTCTAAACTTTTCATAGCCTGGGTCCAAACTACTTTTACCGACTGATCACTCACTAATACTCTAAGAATTAGTTCAAATGGTACCTCCCCTATATAACTGTCACTGAGACCCCAAAGTTGGATCTCATAATTTTTCTCCCACAATATCTTGACTCTACCTCCACTTTATAACGTTCATAACGTATATCGTAATGATCTGTCTCTTCCAGGAAACATTAATTCCTTAAGTACAGCAACTGTTTTTCATTGTGTATATGGCTAGACATGTGTTACTCACTGATGTCTACTAAGACCAATTATTCCCAGTAGATTTGTTATACCATAATGCGAGTACTTCAGCAAGTATTATCACTTGGTGTCAAAGGTTCCCAAGACCACCCTCATGTTCAGAAATTTCCTAGGATTCATGGGACTCAGCATTTGGTCATATTACAGCAATAAAGTAAGGACACAGAGCTAGTCGATAAAAGGAAAAGATACAACAGAGTCTGGAGAAATCTACGTGCTTCCTTATACTCTCTCCCTCCCATGAAAGGTCAGAGAGCACATTCTTCCCCCAACAAAAAAAATGCTGCAACATATGCACAATGTTGTTGCCCAAGTAAGCCCAAGGTTTTTACCAGGCCAGATCATGCAGTTACTCTCTACCTAGCATGTACCAAAATTCCAGACTCCCAAAAGGAAAGCAGGTGTTTAGCATAAATCAAAGTGTTTGTAAAATAATCCAGGCACAGTAAACCATCTTTATGATTCAGGGAATGGTTCCAGTGCCAAGTTCCTAAACTCCAGCTAATGGCCAGGCTGCAAGCAAACCTTTCCAAGGAGAGCAGTCTCAGGCCTGCTATGTCAACTCTTTTCCAAATACTACATTCTACAGTACAGTTTAGTATTTTATTAAACATGAATATAAATCAACAGTTTAAACATTTTAAAATCAATGTTAGTTTTTTCTTAAGTTGCTTTTAATAAACTAACTACTCATGATTATATTTTAACATATTTATTCATTAAACAAATATTTATTGAGTACCCAACCCACTCAGTAACTATACTACATGCTAAAAACAAGATGGTGAAAAGATACAGTTCCTTAATTCATGGAACCTACAGTCTATTAGGGGAAGCATCAAATAATCACTAAACAAAGGTATAGTTACAAAGTGTGATAAGCATTGTTGCTGAAATGTCATTTTTTAATTAAATATCACACCAAGACACTGAATCTTTAAATCGGCTACAGCCTTCCCAAGCAATCTTGCCCAAGTGGTAGTTATAACTTTTTTGCCACCAGGCAGTCAAACTATCTAAAGTCTGCTTCTTTATCATGGCACACCCTTTTTTCTCAATCTAATCCCAACGGAGTGAAGAGCTAGGGCACTGGTGAAGCTAGGTAGTCCATTTTTCTATAAGTAAACCTTAGTACCCTCTCATATTTCCACTGTTCACAGCCCAACCTTTATGAAATTGAGCTACTGCCTCAGATGTTAGAGCATTCTCCTGAAACTAACAGTAATTTTTAACTTTCACTCTTTACTTCCCTTTACTTAGTATTTTCTTCCCTAATTGCTATAGAACAGAATTATTTATAAGAATTAGATTAAAAAATTTACACATACTTCGATGGAAAGGGCATCCTTTGAAATGAAGAGGTTTCCCAGTGGTGGGTCCAATGCCTTTTTCCCCTGTACACAATGCACGAAAATTTTCTGCAGTTTTGGGTACAATATCTGCAAACAATTCTAAGACAATTCGACCAACTGAAAGAAAAAATGAAAACATGTCAGTATGGAAAACAAGCAACTAAATAAGCAAATGATAAAAGGATGGTTGGTGAAAGTATAGTGACTGAGATACCAAGTTCTCTTTTTTGGTCATTTTTCTAAATATTCAAAATTAGTCTAATGTTAAGTGTCATGTATCTAGATGAATTTGAAACAATCATTTTTCTACATGTTAACAAAGGATCAAAAATACAGAGCCAGCAGATTAGGACCATATAAGGGACAGCATGAAGTACAAATGGTTTTAAATTCTGAGTAATTTCTTATACTTGTACTCAGCAATTCCAACCACCAAGTAACCAATAGGAGAAAAATCAAATATCCTTTGAGTGGTCGGGTTGGCTGAGTTTTAAGTATAGCTGTAGCCTTTGTGCTCTATGGAACCTCCCTAGTGCAGCCGCTGGAGCAAAAGATGAAAAAGTTCCCATTTTAGACAACGCCTAAGGCAGGTAAAAACAAACCTCGCACTAACTTCAAAACAAAATAAATGTATATATAAATACATGTGTGTGTCCATAATCAGACACGGGGGTCCCTGAATCCCGATGTGTCCGTTTGTATATGCATTCACACAGACCAGCTAACAATTCTAACCTGTTCCAGAACAAGGGTATTTCAGTTACAAAGCAATACGCTAATTCACAAGACCTCAGGAGCTCCCGAAGTGCTGACGTAGCCTAGGCAACCACATTGCTACACTGAGCTCATTTTCCCCAGGGCCAACACAGAGAAAACGTTCGCCAATCTGACGGGACCTCTAAGTTAAAGATTGGTAATAAGGAAAATCAACCAGCAAAAGTCGCTTTAATTTACAATCTGGCAACTGCTGGTGTATCTCGCGTGGCATAAGACACGGCGTGACTGGAACCCAACAAACACATTATCAGTTTTCTGAATGTCCCACTGCAAACATAAAATAATCTTATTTTACGCCTGCTTGATAGTGCAAGGTGGCGAGGAGGTACAACCGAATCAGGAGGCAAACATAAAGGCCGCCACAATCCCAAAACCAAAAATTTCCAGAAACTTCCGCAAGACCGATGGCATTGGTACAAGGGCGCTGGCTCGACCCAGCCTTTGAAGCCTGGATTTGTTCCAGCAGTCCAGTCTGGGCAGCCGTCCCCTCCACACCACAGAGCAGCCCCTGGCCCGACCCGCACGCCACCATCGGAATCCCCCGAATCCCGGGAAGCATAGCTTCCTCGGGGCCATCCCGCAAGTATCAGACTCCGCTCACCTCGCTCCCCTCCGATGTCCACATCAAAGAAGACTCTGGGGTTACTGGGGTTGCAGGGCTTAGTTTGGGGGGACGGCTGCGACATTTTGAATTGCAGATACGCTTGGGAGCGAACTCAAAGAACCTCGTGGACAACCGGCAGCTCAACCCAAAAGCGACTTTCTCCACGAAGATCTTTCGGCGGCGCTGACGAGCCCCTTCCGGCGTGAGGTCCGGAAGCCGCGCCCCGACTTCCGGCGCCGCCTTCCGGCGGCGTCTCCGCGTGGTGTAGCCGGCATTGGTACTGCGTAGTTTTCTGTCCTTTTTTCTGTCCTTCCTCTCTTCTCGTGTGCTGAAGTTGCAGCCCCAGTCCTTTTTACTCTTTTTGCGTGTTTCATCGCTTTTCCTACTGTGATAACGGGCGTGTGACTGCTTCTCTGACACACAACTTGCTTGTCTGGAAAATAGGAATAAAAATGCTTACCTTGGAGGGTCGTTTTGGGAGTTAAGCAAATTGCTTAGCACAGTGCCTAACACAGCCAGGTGGTAGCTAATCTATAGTGACCGTGTTACTGCTGCCGTTTTGTTACAAGTTGCTATTAACATTGTGTAAGTGATAAAGAGGTTAGGCAAAGGCTCTGAAGCTGAACGTCCAGAAGAGAGCACAGTTTAGTTTCCTGATAAAACTGTTATAGTCCACTTTTCCCTTCTGGGAATTTGTGTAAACATTTTACCTGTTTATATGAACATAGACTCACCTCTTGATAAAGCCTAATTTTGGAGAGAAGTGGTATGTTTTTTAGCACTTGGTAATATTCTGTTTATTCATTTATTTCATCTATCTCCTCCCATTAGAATTAAACTCCACGAGGACAAGAATTTGGTTTTGTTCATTGCTCTATTCAGAGCACTTCTAACAGTGTCCAGCACATAGTAGGTGCTCAATAAATGTTTTTTTTAGATTTATTTTTTTGTTTAGAGAAAGAGTGCGGGGTGGGGGGAGGGGAAAAGCAGAGGGAGACAGCCTCAAGCAGACCCCTTGCTGAGCTGGGGTGGAGGGGTTTGCTGGATCTCAGGACCCTGAGATCATGACCTGAGCCAAAACCAAGAATCCCACCTAACCAACTGCATCACCCACACACCCCATAGGTGCTCAATAAATGTCTTTGAATGAATGAACAAGTTATACAGAATGTGAATGGCCTTGAGAATTTTTATAAGAATGTTAATAAGAAATTTCATTTCCATGTGTATTTATGTATAATTTGAGAAGATTATCAGCACTTCATGCTGATCCTTTCAAATTCCAGCACATTAAAATTAATGTAAAATGTTAATTCCTTATGAGTTGATGCCCTTGAATTCCATAGTGATTATTCGTTATGGTTCCCCGAGGATCTAGGTCAGCCCAGCACATAACCTCTGTGTCCTTTGATGAATATGAGTCAAAATAAATTGCTCACTAATCCAGTCTCATTTCCAGGCTGCAAACTGGTAATTTACACTTTGTCTCACAAATATCAAATGATAAATTCACATTAAAAGTTTTATTCTGCTCTACCAGCTTAAAATTAGCCTCTAGCACATTAAGTCCAAGAATTGTCACTTTTACTCCATATCCTCCTAACCATTATTATCATTAACTAGGTAACATGGTTAAACACTTCTGTGCCATCACACTTCTGGGGTTCAAATTCAATCACTAATAGATACTAACTAACTTGTGACTCTGGACAAGTTACTTAGCCTTTCTGTGCCTCAGTTTCCTCATCTGTAAATTAGGATAATGATATGTATCTCTTAAGTTTGTTTGTTTATTTATTTATTTTAAGTAAGCTCTACGCTCAGTGTTCGGCTTAAACTCACAGCCCCAAGATCAAGTGTCCCATGCTGCACTGACTGAGCCAGCCAGGTGCCTTATGAGGATTAGGTGAAGAATTATTTAGATGTTGTAGTATCAGAAACATAGTAAGTACTCAACAAGTATAAGCAATTATTAATCGTAAATAGCTAATACTTTATTAAAATAATTACTAGTATCAACGTATTTCAAAATGAAAGTTAAAACTGCAAAGGTACTTTGAAGATGCCTCTGCATTCTCAGAAAATATAACGTGATTCTTTCTGTTATACAGGTTTCTGGGTGTAAAAGACTAAATGTTACTCTCACTGTGTCTAGATTTCTCACAGTAATGTAACAGCTTTATGTAAACTGTCATTTTCCTAGAACAAACTTGAATAACGGAATCGTACCTTTCGAAACCACTCCAGTACTGATCTCTAGTGAAAAGATAAATCCTCCTAGAAGACAACCTGTCCCATTGTCAGTCTGCTTACTTAAAACCCGTCTTCTGAGTTCTGAAGTCTTGTCTATGTGTAGAAAGACAGACTAAGGAGCATGCACTATTTATTAGGGCTAAGGTTATACAATTTCATCTGGAAAGAGGGATGAATATTTGCTCTAAGAGCTCTATTATCATCATTATTATCATTATTGTTATTTCTGTCATTTTCCCTGTAAGTTTGGGAGGATAATATTAACAGATTGCATCCCCCACCCAATATCCTCTCTCAATCTCTTCTCATTACTCCACCCAAACAAGCAGCGAGGCATTCTGTGCTCATTCCTTAAGGAGAAAACATGTGACAGCAAAGAAAACTAGGGAAAACAGAGTCTTTTCCTAGCTTTGGAGTGCAAAAAGCTTGGCTTTACAGAAACAAGAAAGACTCCTGGCATAGCAAGAGATAGGAACAAAAATGGCTGTAAGAGCATCTAAGAGCATGGCTTTCCACTGGCAAAAAATAGTAATAGTAAAACTCAAACAAATCCATCTCCCATGCTGGAGAATGAGGGGGTTACAGATGGTAGAGTGAGGAGAGTAGGAGGGGCAGCAATGGCAGGGCAGATTTCCACTATCCCAGAGATGAGAAGTCTCTGAACCATGTTCCCCAGTCACATCCCTGGGAAGTCAGCAAACCTCCAAAAGTTTATGAGATCTGAGAGCAGAGGGAACGGTGTGCCCGGATTCCCAAATACAGCCTCAGGAAGGCAGCAGGCCCTAGAAAGAATATGGATTAATGGTGTGAGTAGGTAGATGGGAACTAGACAGACTCCCAAAGATTTCCTATGCCCTAACTTGGAGTGGGAGCAAAACAATACCCCTGTATTCCCATAGAAAAGGAAAGATGGCCTCCATACTTCAAGGGAGCTTGCAGAAGGGAAATCTGAACTCAAGAGACCTGGGAGAATTGAAAAGGATGTCTAGTTTCTCATTGGATGCCTATGTAGACAGATGACTTTGAGAACCAGAGGCTCCCAACCCCAAAATTTGCTAGACATTATCAAGTTTAGATCCAATCCCAAGAGGGAAAAAGTGAGATACCAGAAATTGGCAAAATTATGGCATTACCAACCCTTCGGAATAGGCGATTCAAAATTGAACTTAAGATAAGTAATAGGAAAAACTTGTGTCTCACACACCTGAGTTCATACCTTTATAGGGTCATAGATTGGTCACAAGTTTGAAATAACACCCAGCCCCTTCATCACAGGGAAGAAGTCAGAAAGGACACCAGAGTTTGGGGAGAAAGTTTCAGGGTTCTATCTGTTGAGTTAGGCTCTGACTGCAAAATTGGAACTCCAAGAGGCTAATGCATAACTCTTTAAGGAGACAAAACGATTCTGCTTCTAGAGGAAGCATTGGTGTTGAGATACTAATGTGTAGGAGAGAGGCCTAACTAAGAATCCCTACTCTTCCATATCAGAATGGAAAAGCAACTCTCAAGTTCTGCCTGCCTGCTAAAATTTATGACTAAGAATAATTACAATTTTTTCTGAGCTAGAACATTGAACCAATAGAAGACAGCAGATGCCACCAGGGGACAGTAGAGTCTCTGCCACCAACAGAAATCATCCCACAGACAGAAATAGTGCAGTGAACTTTGTGCTTGAGAGCTCCCAAAATGATAAGAATCTTCTAGGAGCTGGAAGTGATATGGTCAAAAAAGGATATTGATTAATAGGTTACAATAACACCAGGTAAGACAGGGTTTGTGTATTCCTTTCCTGAAGAATAGTAATAAGATTAATTTTAACTGTTTTCAGTTGTGAAATGTGTATTTATCTGATACAACAAAATCAATAATACAGTGATTTGAACCAACAAAAGTATTGTTCAAATCCTAGTATTCCCTTCCTCCAAAGAAAAAAAATTTACATTAATCTAAAAGGACTTCCTTAAAATGGATTTTATGACTATCACAAACAAAAATAGTAACTAGAACATATTGGTCATTGATATGTACCAGACTCTCTGCTAAGTGCTTTACTTACTTTATGTTAGTTAATCCTCAAAATAACTCTGTGTCAGCAGTAATCTTACTATCCTATTTACTTTATCAGACAGATGAGTGCTGGGGAGGTTAAGAAAGTTGCCTGATCTGATTCCAAAGCCACTTCCCTGTGTACTAGAAAGATAGAACCTGAGATCTATCTTTAAATATACAAGGTTTAGATATTGTATAAGAGACATAATGACATATAAAGGATCCTTGAGCTCCTCATGGCATTAACACTGGACTTGTTTTATCCTTTCGTAACTTGGCTTTGATCTGGCATCCTAAAACGGATTAGGCTTCTATGCCTTCTGAAAGGTATTCTATATCTATAGACTGTGAAGTGAGAAAAAAAACATTTTTTTCCACAGAAAATGAAAGCAATAATAAAACTTCCTCCTAATCACTTTGCATGGAGGTAGGAGAGTTGGTGCCAACTTACTGGCATCTCCATGAATTTCCCTAATTTGAGGCAGAGATAGAAGGCAAAAGAAGCCAAGAGAAGACAGGTAGTTATAAATCCTGGTGACTCTGACAGAAGAGTTACACAAAGGGCGCCTGGGTGGCTCGGTCGGTAAGTGTCTGCCCTCAGCTCAGGTCATGATCCCAGGGTCCTGGGATGGAGTCCCGCATCGGGCTCCCTGCTCAGCGGGAAGCCTGCTTCTCCCTCTCCCACTCCCCCTACTTGTGTTCCCTCTCTCACTGTCTCTCTCTCTCTCTGTTGAAAACTAAATAAAATCTTAAAAAAAAAAAAAAAGATATACACAAAGTAGAAGAGTTTATATTGAGAGGGTCTGTTAGGTCCTATTGATTGACAAGAGACTTTTGTGACCTGGGGCGCCTGGGTGGCTCAGATGGTTAAGCGTCTGCCTTCGGCTCAGGTCATGATCTCGGGGTCCTGGGATCGAGTCCCGCATCAGGCTCCCTGCTCCTTGGGAGCCTGCTTCTCCCTCTGCCTCTCTCTCTTTCTCTCTCTCTGTCTGTCATGAATAAATAAATTAAAAAAAAAAAAAGAGACTTTTGTGACCTGTTAAGTAAGCCAATGTAGGAATTTTCATAGGGTTAACATTAAAAGATTTGCATTTTTAAAAGACTATTTTGGCTCTAACATGGAGAACAAAATCAAAGGGAGCCATAATGGAGGTAGGGAGGGCAGTGGGGCAATTACTGGTAATGAGACATGAATCTAGCTTGTACTTAAGTGATGATAGTAAAGATGGACAAAAATTGATGCATGAGAAAGGCATATAGGGAGAGGGTATAAAATCAACAGTTCCAAGTAATAGATTGAACATGGGATGTGACATAGAAGGATGGATGGAGTGAAAAATAGGCTGACTGGTAAACTTGGGAGGTTAAGTAAAAAGAGGACTGATAAATACCCACTGAATTTAGTGACATGGAGGTCTTTGGGGACATTGCTGAGACATTAATAATCAATGTCATCATATCTCTAATGGAATAATTTGGGTTTATCAATGTCTTAAATTCATAATATTGACATTTGTTCCCAATAATCAATATTATTTGAATGTCCTTAAACTTACTGAAAATAGAAAGTACAATACAGAATTCCTGTAGACATATAAATGTCTTTGGAAAAAATTTTTTCCATGGTGAGATCCAGTACCTTTGGCAGAATGATTTGTGAGAATTAAAAGTAAAAGTAACATTGCTGAATATATACTGTATGCCAGATGATTAACATATCTTATAACTTATCTTCTGTATCCTAATGTCAGTGTCAACCATTCTAGATAAGTATTGATTACTGGTGGTGACAGTTTGAAGTTCTTTAAAGAGATGAGTTAGCACATGGAAGTTTTTAAGTCCTCTTTCTTATATCCTGTCCCACCAAAGCTGCTGTGTTCAAATCTGAACTCTCCTCTACAAATCCCCACACTCAAATTACATGCCCTTCTCTATTTCTTTTAAAAGGTACCATAGGCTAGAAATATTAAGGCATCTGGCACACAGTAGGTCAGTAACATTCATTGTCACAATTTGTCTATTCTCCCTCCTGTCTTTCAAATTATGTCTCTCAAAGCCACCTCCCTCCTGTTCAGGAGCTTTCAAACTTAAATGAAATAGTTATTAATGGGTCTGCCATCTCTAGGTTCTCCCCTAATTTATAAGAGGAACATTAAATAACATGATGGATGGTGTTGCTGATAATACCAAAAACACAGAATGTACTACTCCCCCAGGTCTTCTCTTATATTGACCCTCAAAACAAACATGCAAAAGAACATATTGATAAGTCATTTTTATAGGCGGCCAGAATAGTGCTGTCTACCTAAGTGTACAGATTTCTAGAATTCAAATTTGAAGGATGGATATATTAGTGAGGCCATAGGACTTAATGGTTATTATGTTCCTAATGCAATTCCTGCTGACTTTCACTTGTTACCAGCTAAGATTTTAACAGTTTCTGCATTGTGGCTACATCATTGAGATCACAGGTAACAATGTGAAATAAGGGATTTCTGTGCTGTTGATTGAAGAATATAATTTAAGCGCCCTAGCTACCAGACCAGTGGGCAGCAAAGAAATGAGTCTGTATTTTTGCCGACCGAAAGAATAGCTCACCTTCTTAAGGAGGAACCTTTCAGAGGGGGTTAGGACTTTTCTCAATTTGCAACAGTGGATCTATTTAGATTCTGGAAGTCTGTTGGGAGCCCCAGAAATCTGTACTACAGAGCATCATCCAAAAACAGACAACCTTGGCTATAAAAACTTTGAGGCCGGTGTTTGGATCCCATTTCACAGAGGAAGAACCTGGCTGAGGGAGGCTGAAGAATGTACCTCCGGGCCAAACTGTCAGAGTCCTGCTTGCTTCTATCTCAGACCACAAAACAGACCCCCTAGGTCAGAAAAAGCATTTCCCTATTTGTCCATCTACATCTGCCAATAACAATTTTTTTTTAAGATTTTATTTATTTGACAGAGAGAGACACAGCGAGAGAGGGAACACAAGCAGGGGGAGTGGGAGAGGGAGAAGCAGGCCTCCCGTGGAGCAGGGAGCCTGATGTGGGGCTCGATCCCAGGACCCTGGGATCATGACCTGAGCCTAAGGCAGACACTTAACGACTGAGCCACCCAGGTGCCCAAACAATTTTGTTTTTTTATCATTAATGAGGTGATTTGTTGCTTTTGAGAAAAAAATAGCCAACATTTTCAGTTGCTTCTTCAATAGTCCCCTAAAAGTGATCACTGGGCCAAGCTGTTGGAAGAAGGCTGTGCCCTCAGTTATAAAAAAAATGAATCTTTTAAGCTTAAAATGGGGAATTTAGATCACAATTATTTATTACACTATTAAATTGGAATTTGATTGAGAAAAACAGAATTCCTCTGTATTCAGATTTTTGAGACATGCTAGATAAAAACTCTATATTTGATTTACTTTTATACTTAATTAAATACTCAAATGTAATAAAATGATAACATTTGCTGAAGCACTTTCATTAGAAGTATAACATCTACTGGAAAAGATTGGTCTTTATTCAGCAAATATTATTGAGTACCTAATACTTGGTTGCCAGGTCTGGCACACAGTTATAAGGATGAAAAATAGAGTTGATGTTTTGGGCACCTGGGTGGCTCAGTTGGTTGGGCGACTGCCTTCGGCTCAGGTCATGATCCCGGAGTCCTGGGATCGAGTCCCACATCGGGCTCCTGGCTCAGCGGGGAGCCTGCTTCTCCCTCTGACCCTCTCCCTTCTCATGCTGTTTCTCTCTCCCTCCCTCTCTAATAAATAAATAAAATCTTTAAAAAAAAATAGAGTTGATGTTTTAAGGTGTTTCCTGCTTGCTAAAAGAGACAAAGCAATTACAGTATATATATATAATATATAGAGGTAGACTCAAGACACTGGGAAAAAATTGGGAGACCCAGCTTTGGAGATCTCTAACAATTTCATAGGCAAGACGCCATGTGATCGAAGTCTTTCTTACACTCTGGAAAATACTTTACCAGACTGGGTGATTAGAGTCTAGAGGGACACATATTAATATTACATATACAGCATAGCCTAAAAACTATTTATGTCTAAGAAATTAAAAACCAGAGAAAGTATTATTACCAAAGTATGGGGGAGAACAAGATATTAATAGTAGAATATGTGATAAGTGTGACAACTCTAGATGCACAGTTTACCGAAAAGAAACTAGGGCATCCTGATAGTACATATAAGTAAAATAGAAAATTCTCCATTTATTCTCAGTTTATCCAAATTTGCTCAAAACTCAGAACTATAAGTAAATGCAACTATAAATAAATAAATGATTCTAAGTATTTTCATTTCTTCTTCAAAGCCCAGTAATTTTTTTTTAAAGATTTTATTTATTTGACAGAGAGAGCGACAGTGAGAGGGGGAACACAAGCAGGGGGAGTGGGAGAGGGAGAAGTAGGCTTCCTGCCGAGCAGGGAGCCCGATGCGGGGCTCGATCCCAGGACCCTGGGATCATGACCTGAGTCCAAGGCAGACGCTCAAGGACTGATCCACCCAAGCGCCCCAAAACCCAGTAATGTTTGAGAGAAGTTTAAATGACACCTCTTATCTATCAAAACTCTTAATTGCTCAATGACTAACAGGAGACATTTGCATTTGTATATGGAAAACCTTTCGTTCTAATCATGTTCTTTGCATAAGTAAGATTTTTTTAAATTACTAGATATGTTGGACACCTGGGTGGCTCAGTTGGTTAACCTTCTGCCTTCGGCTCTGGGATTGAGTCCCACATCAGGCTCCTTGCACCTTGGGGAGACTGCTCCTCCCTCTGACTCAAGCCTTTCCCAACCCCCACCCCGCCGCTTATTCTCTCTCTCACTCTGTCAAATAAATAAAATCTTTGAAAAAAATTACTAGTTATTTTAATACCTTTATGAGAAATCTAAATGATAACAGACCCAGATTGTAAGACTTAATGGGCTAAGAGCAATGCCTTTACAATTTATAGTAAGACCAATTTTCTTGTTTAAAATTACTCATATATTATAAAACTCGTAGTATTTAGGGGCACCTGGGTGGCTCAGTCATTAAGCGTCTGCCTTTGGCTCTGGTCATGATCCCAGATCCCGGGACTGAGCCCGGCATAGGGCTCCCTGCTCAGCGGGAAGCCTGCTTCTCCCTCTCCCACTCCCCCTGCTTGTGTTCCCTCTCTCGCTGTGTCTCTGTCAAAAAAATAAATAAAATCTTAAAAAAAAAAACCAAAACGTAGTATTTAGATTTTTAAGCAGCTGATTTTTAAAATTTTCTGGATATCTTATTTTAGCGCAAGATAGTTACAATTAAGTTGAAATTTTATATTAAGTGCTAATATGTATTGTACGCTTAATATGTCATGAGTTTTCTTTTTTTTTTTTTAAAGATTTTATTTATTTATTTGGCAGAGAGAGACACAGCGAGAGAGGGAACACAAGCAGGGGGAATGTGAGAGGGAGAAACAGGCTTTCCGCCGAGGAGGGAGCCCGATGCGGGGCTCGATCCTGTGACCCCGGGACCATGACCTGAGCCGAAGGCAGACGCCTAATGACTGAGCCACCCAGGCGCCCCTGTCATGAGTTTTCTATATACTTTATGTTCATTTTTTAAAAATTTTTTTAAAAGTTTTCTTTTTTAAAAGGTTTTATTTATTTGAGAGAGAGAGTGAGTGAAAGAAAGAACTAACAGAGGGAGGAGTGGAGGGAGAGGGAGAAGCAGATTCCCAGCTGAGCAGAGAGCCCAACGCAAGGCTTGATCCAGGACCCTGGGATCATGACCTGAACCGTAGGCAGACGCTTAACCGACTAAGCCACCCAGGCACCCAAGATTTTATTTTATTTGAGAGAGAGAGAGAGAGCACCAGTGGGGGGGGGGTGCTGCTGGGGGAGGGACAGGGGTAGAGGGATAAGCAGGCTCCCCCCTGAGCAGGGCGTCCAACATGGGGCTCAATCCCGGGACCCTGGGATCATTACCTTAGCCGAAGGCAGACACTTAACCAAGCCATCCAGGTGCCCCTGTTGATTTGTTTTGTTTGAAGATCTTATATTTAAGTAATCTCTACACCCAACATGGGGCTCAAAATTACAACCCTGAGATCAAGAGTCGCGTGCTCTACCCACTGAGCCAGCCAGGCGTTTCCCTATTGATTAATTGATTGATTTTTAAAGATTTTATTTATTCATTTGAGACATAGAGAGAGAGAGAGCATGAGCAGGGGGAGAGACAGAGGGAGAGGGAGAAGCAGGCTTCCTGCTGAGCCAGGAGCCAGACGTGGGGCTCCATCCCAGGGCACCGGGATCATGTGCTGAGCGGAAGGCAGACGCTTAACCATCTGAGCCACCCAGGCGCCCCTCTATTGATTTATTTTTTAAAAAATAAGTTACACATTCACAGAATATAATCAAGGGATGAAAAGGATATATAGTGAAGAGTTTCCTGGACACTCAGGAAATTCTTAGAAAATTTCCACCAGGCAATTCCAGCTTTAGAGGAAATCAATGCTACCACTTCCTGAGTGTTTTTCTTGAGCATTTCTGTGATTATACAAGCAAATATGTATATATGTTATGTACTTTCCATCCCCTGTTTTTACACACTGTTCTACACTTTGTTTCTTCTGATTACCAATAATATATTTTGGTAATATCTCATTCAATAATGAAACTGTTTCCTTGTTCTTTATTACAGCATGGTATTTGATTGCATGAGTCCAAATCAGCCCTTTTTAGATGGAAATCTAGGTTGTTTCCACTCTTTTCTTATTATAAGAGTACTGCAATAAATATCAGCATATGGTTATCAATTTATTCATTTAAAAGTACATCTGCTTGCGGGCACCTGAGTAGTTCAGTTGGTTGGGTGTCTGACTCTTGGTTTTGGCTCAGGCCGTGATCTCAGGGTCCTGGGATGGAGCCCTACCTGGGTCTCCGTGCTCAGCAGCAAGTCTGCTGGAGGATTACTCTCTCCTCCCTCTGCTCCTCTTCCTGCTTGCGTGCACACACATGTACTCTCTCTCTCTCACGTGCTCTCTCGCTCTCTCAAATAAAACAATCTTTAAGAAAATAAAATAGGGGGTGCCTGGGTGGCTCAGTCGTTAAGCATCTGCCATCGGCTCAGGTCATGATCTCAGGGTCCTGGAATAGAGCCCCACATCGGGCTCCTTGCTCAGTGGGAAGCCTGCTTCTCCCTCTCCCACTCCCCCTGCTTGTGTTCCTGCTCTCGCTATCTCTCTCTGTGAAATAAGTAAATATTTTTAAAAATAAATAAATAAAATAGAAGTACATCTGCCTGATAAATTCCAGCTGGAGGAATTGCTGGTCAAAAGTATGTATGTGCATTTGTAATTTTGATAGATATTGCCAAACAGTTTTATATGGTGGTTATACCAATTTACACTCCCTCAAGCAATCTATGAGAGTACCTGTCTCCACCATACTCTCACCACCCAATATATCATTACATTTTTTGGTCTTTGCCAATCAGATAGGGAAGAAACGCCTTACTTACGGTTTATGTGGATTTTCTTATTAATCCCTAAAGCAGTAAGTAATAGTATCATATTATTTTATATATAAGGAAATTGAGGCTTACAGAAGTAAGGTTACTTGTTCAAATTACTTAGATAAAAGGTGGAAGAATCAAGATTAAACTCACCCTGTCTGTCTGGGGCACCTGGGTGGCTCAGTCAGTTAAGTGTCTGCCTTCACGGGGATCCAGTCCCATGTCAGGCTCCCTGCTCAGCGGGGAGCCTGCTTCTCCCTCTGCCTGCCGCTCCCCCTGCTTGTGCTCTCTCTGTGTCCATTGAATGAATAAAATCTTTAAAAAATTAAAATAAAAATAAACTTATCCTGTCTGCATTGTCGACAAAACCCCTATTATGTCATACAGTATTTCCATTAAGGAACATAGCCAAATAACCTTGAAACTTAAATTATATTTCTCATAATTATTATTATTTTTTTAA